GGAGGGTGCGTCGTGGTGATGGGGAGGGTGGTGATAGGGAGGGGAAAGAGGGGGAGGGTGGGACGGGGGATGGCGGTGGTGATGGTGCTGGTGATGGTGCTGGCGGTAGTGGGAAAGGGGGAGGGGAGCTGGTGGAGAGGGAGGACCGGCTTCCTTGGAGCTGGGTCGGTAGTAGGAGCCCGCTGATGGACTCGCAGGAGGAGGCCGAGTGGATTTTGGAGCGGCTGATTGCGAGGCTGGGGGAGGAGTTGAGGGCTGCGAGGGAGGAGCATCACGAGAGTCGGCGATAATACGTGCGTGCGTGCATAATTGGCGTGTTTAAATGTTGGGAATGAGGGGTGGGTTGTGTTAGCGCACATGAGAGGAATGGCGCATGCGGATGGATACCCCGGGAAGTATATCGTTTGTGGGAGTATGGTTTAGTGAACATCATTATTTTGCATTGTTTTGCGGTTTAGCCTTCAGCATGCGTGTCCGGGAAGGGCGGTCAAGCCCATCATGAATCTACCTAGGTACATGGATACCTTGGGGTGGTGTCAAGTCGAGGGGCCATAAATTTATTGTTGGCTTGCAATGCCTCACACAAATGTTGGAAGCACAAAATCACGATATCGAGTGATGATCGCTTCAGAAGAATGTGTGGATATAACGATTGTATCATTCTATCGTAGCTACCAGATGATGCAAACCTCTACCTGGTCGAATGAAATCATGAACGCCGAGATCCTCGTATATGCCCCGATGCCTCTATTTTCCGTGTCCCACTCAAGTCGAGACCGACGCCGTGCGCTGAAAGCAAGTGATGATAAGCTAGTTCTGGCATCGCGATCAGAACGAAGACATAGTCGTATTTGTCGCGCTGCTGGAGTCCATCGTGGTAGGACTCCGAGGTCTTCTTGAGCGCCGAGTCAAGGTCCTTGAAGAGGTACTTTTCCACGCGCCCCAACCCTTCGTTCAGCCGGTCAATGTGTGGTGTGAGCTGTGCGAGCGCCTCAACAGACTGCCGGGCGCGATTGTCGAGGTCGTCCATGCGCTTTTGAAGCTCAGCCTCGACGCCGTCGGTGAGCTGGGAAATGACGCGAGTAAGTCGCTGATAGAGCAGGATGCTGCGAGCTACGAAACGGTCAGTCACGTACCACACGAGCCGGTCGAGGGCACTCAAATTTCTCGTTGTCGGCCCTTGCGGCCTCGCAAAATCGCACTGCCTTGTGTCGATAGCTAATCCAGGTGGTTCAGGCAGCATCCGATGCCGCCAGTGCCGAAAGACAGAAACCAATTTCATGGGAGCTCACATGCAGCTGTGGCTCATCATGCATGGCAATTTGGCTCAGTGACGGTTCACGAAACTTGGCGCACTCCTTGGGGATCGAGAAGCTGCCGCGCTCCAGGTCGCAAATCGCAAGGCTCGCGGCATACGAGTCGACAAAGTCGCGGATTTGCCGCCCGCTGTCGGTGAGAACGGTGGCATCGTTTTTGCCATCAACTGACTGGCAGTTGTTGACAAGAAGCCGTGCGGCCACGCGATGGCAGAGAGGCTCAGACTGAAGTCCTTCGAGCTCGCTCAACGCAACTGCGTAGATGTTGGGGGTCCGGGGAGCCTCGGGTGACTCGGAGGGCTTGTCTGAACCCCCGACAACTGCGGATCGTTAATTTCTTCTGGGTTCGTTCCAAGGGAGAGCTTGACACGACTTACGAGATGTGGCTTTCTTCTGGTTCCTCCAGGAAATGCCGCTGATGCAAGGTACCAAAAGGCCCAGAAGAACTATGTTTACCCGCATGTTGACTGTATTTCTTGTCTCGTTATTGCTTTGTGCTCAGGTAACTCGTCGCATGTGAGGTGATCTCGTCTCATGAAACAAAGTATACCAAGGGTAAATAAAGACTGCTGCTGATGCGGCTCTGGGGAGAGTGGGTGATGATGTGGGAAGAAGTTCAAAGATCAGGGTGCTGAAGGGGAATTAAATAGACCAAGCCTGGGGGAGGGAAAAGTTTGGCCAGAGGGCATGCTGCTGAAACTCTCGGCGGTTCAGATTTCTTGATACTTATGTCGTCGTCTAGATTGTGGTAGTCAATTGCCCTGTAATGGGCTAATGGAAGAAAGACCCATGGACAAGTGAGAGATAACCGCCTAACACAATCCGGAGCGGAAAAATTCGGCGTTGCACTGTGCGTGAACCGCAACTTCATCTGAAAGCAGGGCATTGTTGAGGAACTAGAATAGGAAAGGAGGTAAGATGAAGGACCATTGCAAAAAACTTCTCAATAGAAACCCAATAGGAACCCCACCGCAGAGACCATGGCATTCCTTATGCAGAGGGAAGGTGCGGTGCGTTTGGTAAAGAAAGGAGACCAGACCGTATCAACTTTGGCTAGCAAGAAGACGACAGAACAAGGCCTTCAAATTTTATAGCAATTTATGAGCAGGCTTAGGTATACCCAGAATGAGAGATTCCCAGCCCATTTTGGTGATAATGTGGAGGTTGAATCTTGGTGTTGAGGGTGTCCCACAACCCCTCCACGACTTAACCGCTGACTAAGATCGGGACCCACAGCCGGAAGCCAGCCGGCGCTCCCAGTGCCCGAACTTTTCTGAGTAAGACCGGGAGCATCAATTGTAACAGATCCGATTGCAGCATCGCGAGTTACCAATCCACCGCCACCACCCACAATGCTCGCACCAAGGACTGGGCGACAAGCACTGCGACGGGCATTGGCCTCCAACCCCTCTCCAACCATTACACTGCCGGGCTTCCTCGTCCCGGCTTTCCAGACAAGACGAACTTTCTCGGCGACGACACACCGGCCCTCCAAGCTCGGGAGGACACCGCTCTCAGTGCCGCCTGGCGTGGAACTTACGATCAGCGACCCATTTATCAAGAAGGATATGACCTCGTACCTGAAGACACATACGCGGACGATCACAGTAACCGGGCCGTTGGGTGAGCAGCACGCTCTGGCAAGCCGTGGACCAGGGCGCTGACTTGTTGTAGGAAATTTGGAGCTCGAGATCCCCGACTACATCAATATCAATCATGACGCTGCAGCGAGGAAGGTGGAGTTGAGCGTAAAGGACCGGGACGAGACGAACCAGAACCGGATGTGGGGTATGAACCGCCGTGGCTACAACCAGCAATACGGCTAGCGCAGAACTGACAGACAGCGGCAGGAACTACATGGTCGTACCTCAATAACTACATTATGGGTGTATCGGAAGGGCACACGGCCGTCCTCCGTCTAGTCGGTATCGGTTACAGGGCAACGATCGAGCCCCGGCCCGCAAAGGCGGAATACCCCGATCAACAGTTTGTCTGCCTAAAGCTGGGCTTCTCGCATCCAGTGGAGATGGGCCTGCCCAAGGGCATGAAGGCCAGCGCGCCGCAGCCGACCCGCGTGCTCCTCGAAGGCATCGACAAGGAACAGATCATGCAGTTCGCCGCCGATATCCGCAGGTGGAGAGTGCCGGAGCCGTACAAGGGCAAGGGTATCTTCATCAACGACGAGACTATCAAGCTCAAGCAAAAGAAGATCAAATAGACGGCTCGCGGGTCAGTCTTTGTATTGAACTGGGGTTCCGACTTGGACCTCGATGAAGGGAGCCATCGGTCTTAGTCTGAATAGGGGTAGGAGGATCTTTATTTTTCCGTCGCGGCACTGGCATTGTTGTATATAGGAATCCTGAAGGGGGTGGCATATCTCTCCTCAGAGAAGCCGGCGATAGGCGAGACAGGCAACAGAATCACGAGTTTTTCGATGATAAGTACAGCACGCGACTGATCCCAGATGAGTGCATGAACCCGCTGGCGGTCCTCTGAACAGAGGGAGACCGTTGTCCGCTTTTTGATTGAGATACCAGGCGTTGGCGCAGGGCCTTCTGGATCTACTTATGTTTACTGATTGTAGGAGTGAGCTTTGCGTCCCAGAGCCGGTGGTTTGGCTCCTGAGTCTTCTCATCTGCTCAGTATATCTAGCAGTATTTTCTTCAGCCGCCGGGTTTTTGCCTGGTTGTATCTGTGTAATGGATATGTACATTATTTGGCACCGATCAGAACTTATTTCAGCCCGAGCACCTCCTGGACGACATCGAGAACCTGGTTGTGGACTGCGGCGGGCGCGGCAATCACGCCGCTGTTGCTAGCCAGCGTTCTGCCAACCCCAAAGTCAAGACGCCGCCCCTTAGTGTCAGTGACTTGGCCGCCAGCCTCCCGGACGATCAGGTCGCCGCCCGCATGGTCCCAAATCTTTTCCTGGTAGGTCTTGGAAGTCGGCAGGCGCAGATAGATATCGCCAGCGCCGCGAGCAATAGAGCCGTACTTGGCCTGCGAGTCCATCCTGACGCTAGGTTTCGTAATACCCAACTTCTGCGCAATCTGCGCCGACTCGGATTGGTTCGAGTGTCCCGCCTCCACACTCTCGCAGAAGCTCGCGCTCGCCATCTCAGTCACCTCCTTCATCTTGATGCTCTTCCCCTCCGTCAGCCCGCCCGTGCTCAACGGCCTGCTAGTAGCACCCTGGCCAATGACCGCCGAGAAGATCACACCGCGTCCCTCGTCATCGGACTGGTTCGCGCCGATATCCACCGTCAACGGCGCCGCATCATCAACCGGCAGGTTCGGGCACCCCAGCACACCCACCTTCACCTCCCCATCCTCCAACAACGCCAGCGCCAGCGCATACTGGCCACCCCTCAAAAACCCCTTCGTCCCATCAATCGGATCCAGCGTCCACACCCTCCCCTCCCTCCCCCCTGCACTCCTCCCCAAATCCACCACCTCCAACAAATCATCCACATCCCGCACTCCACCCCCCAACAACCCCTCCGCCTCGGGATCCTCCAACTTGGTGCCCCTCACCAACCCCCAAATCAGCTCGCGCAACCCCTCATCCGCCCGCAGCTGGGCGGACTCCTCCTCGGCGACGATGGCGTCGCCGGGGAAATTGTGGCGCAGCGCGGCGATGATGAGCGCCTGCGCGCCAAAGTCGCCCACCGTCACCGGCGACGCGTCGTCCTTGGATACCGTGCCCTTGGCCTTCTCGTGGAAGACGCGCTTGGTGAGTATGGCGGCGCGCTGCACGGCCAGCTGGGCGATCTCGAGTTCGCGGGCGTAGGGGGTGGTCATGGTGGCGGTGGTGGTGGTGGTGGTGGTTGGTAGTGGTGTTGGGATGGTGGTGGTGGTGATGGTGTGGTGGTGGCGGGTGAGGTGGTTGAGGATGAGACCTAGACGCCGGGGGATGGTGGTGGTGGTTGCGGTGAAGAAGATGGCCAGTGTGAGGACAAGGAGAGAGATGATGGAGAAAGGGTGCAGTTTGAGCTTGGGCTGGAGTCGGCTGCGAGTGGCGGCAGTTGGAGATTGTTGAGAGTTAATCATTCACTTAGCCGTGTCAGGTTAATTGATGGGATGTTGTCTTTATTTATCCCGATTGCAACTTGCTCTTGCTCGCCGTAGATTCCCCGCACTCCAAAAGTTGCGATGCGATTACGCTGACGTTGTTCGATGGTGGGGGTTGAGTGCTCCACAGCGGACACCTGGACTTTCAAGAGCTCCAACCACATCACGAAACCAGCGGGCTTTAGAGAGTCGGCTATTGAGGTTTTTCCCCCTTCGGTGACTCCGGAATGCGTGAAATAACCGCATGAGCTATTTAGTCCTAACCCCAACAAGTGTCTAGCGTGGGATAATGATTAATGTGAGCGTACGAACGCATCAGCGAGCTTGTCTCGAACCCAAGACAGAGGAGCAGAGCGGTTCCAGTTACGGACGCTTGTTCACAAAAAGGGGACTGCGAGGAACGGGAGTGGGCGAGCGAAGTTGGAAAAAAAGAGTGGGATAACCAGGAATCGAACCTGGGTCCTCTCGGATCGCTGTGTCAAACCACAACGAGAAGTACTAACCACTATACTATTATCCCATTACTTATTTACACCATGCTCAAAGCATAATTATGACACCGGCACTCTCCGACATTTGCGTAGCATTCAAGCAGATCCCAACACTTCTAGTTCATGGTCGCACACATTGGCTGACCTGCGCTCCCTAACATAAAAAACATACATAAAATGCATAACTTACCACCCGCGACCGAGAGCGACGCAGAGAGCTTCATCTCAGCTTGCTTCATAGAGTGACTTCACCGGAATCACCTACCACCGCACGGAATGCAACTGTCGTCCGATTACGACGTTTACGGAGGGCGCAATTCTACATCGAGGCCCAGGGGTCCCACATCAATACATGACATATATCCATGACCGATCTCACAGTTATCTCGGGCAAGTGGCATGTTCCCACACAGACGGTGGGTATCTGCGCAACGTCCATTTCGAACTACGCATTGAACAAGGCCCCATTATGCAGGAGGAGAAGAAAAAAATCGGAGTCGTGCAAGGCGCACAGGCATACCATTGGTTTACCTTTACTCTTACAGGTCAACCGATGTCGCCAATGGTTCAAGGGACGTCCTCCCTTACCCATCTAGAGTTGCCCTTGCGACGCCATAGCGGAGGCCTTCTCCGCGGCAGCCTCGACGCAGGGTGGTCTGTTGGTTCAGGACAATTCGTTTGAGGAATATGAGCAAATTCCCGTATGGATCCTGGAAGGATATTCGACCTTGCTCACAGAAGTCAACCAGCAACTCTCCGAAAAAGGTCTCGACACGGCCACCCTCATGGTCAGTCCGGTAGGTGAGGGGTCACTGGCACACGCCATTGTTGCCCATTGTAAGGGCAAGGGTCGTCAATGCAGCGTGATGAGCGTTGAGCCCGATACCGCGCCGTGTCTTCACCACAGCTTGAAGGCTGGACGATCCGTGCCGATAGACACATCCAACACCGCCAGCATCATGGATGGACTGAATTGCGGCACGGTCTCAATGGCAGCGTTCAAGGATCTCCAGGCAGGTGTTGACATCAGCGTCGTCGCCTCGGACATGAAGTCGCACCAGGCCGTCCAGTTTCTGAAAGAGGCGGGTGTAGGCATTGGGGCCCTGTGGCGCGGCCACCCTTGCTGCGCTCTGGAAGCTCCGAGATGCCGAGGATATTCAACCCCGGTGTTTCCTCTCAGAAGAGGCAGTCGTCGTTCTTCTAGGCACCGAAGGCCAGAGGGAGTATCAAGTTCCCATACCGATCTCGAATGTTGGGGCTGTCACTGCCGAGGTCTAAGAATACCTAGCTGCCGTCGACTGGTGGTAGGGTGGATGGAAGCGCCGGAGTAGACAGGGTGAGAATTCACACAAATACCGTCAGTTAGGTACCGTTGATTGAGGAGGTTGCTCTCGGTGTAAAACCATTTCGCCCGCCAATTGAATACTAATCAAATGACAGTCTGATCACACATTGCGCTGCCAACAATCGTCGTAGTGGGACTCTACAAGAATAATCTCGGCACCTTGGGCGATTAGCTTGACATCCGCTGCGCTGACGGTGCTGGGAACGTAGATGTGGGCTGGTAGGTTGAGCATCTTGGCCATGACTGCTACAGCTCGGCCGTGGTTTCCTTCAGTGGCAGCGAAGAGGGCAATGCCATTTTTCTGTGCTGCCTGGGCCACGTCGGTGAGCGGCAAATCCAGAGAGAGGCCGAGCTAAGACACGAGGGCTCGATACGTGCCTCATGATGCACCGAGAATCTTGAAGGAAGGAAGGCCCAGTCTGTTGCTTTCATCTTTTAGGAAGACAGACTTGACGCCAAGCTCCTTCGCAACACCTTCCCACGGAATCAGAGGCGTTGGCACGTATGAAGGAAGCTGCCGATGGAATGTTTGAATACGGGAGGTGTTTACGGAAGGCGACAACGGCGTGGTGCCCTGGTTGAAGAAGACGCTCTGGTTTGGGACTGTCATGATGCCAAGCGGCTTGGGGGCAGAACTATGATAAGAAAAGGAGGGGGAAAGAGATGAAGAACCAAGAGCCGAAAGCCCTGTGTAATGAATGATGTGTCTCGTTATAGGCGCAAAATGTGATCTTCGGGACCTTCAGCATCAAAAAAAACAGATCCTGTTGTCCCTGAAGTTCTGTCAGATCAACCATTGGAGCCATCTCGTGCTCACGCGGAAACAATCCCACCCACTCAATCGCCACATCTGGTTAGATACAGTAGGTACCAGGCCCGCTGCGCGGTGTGCATCGGGTATCCTCGCACTATCTGTGCGGGCTGGGCCCTGGTGTTGGTCGCGGCAACTCCTAGTCCCTCAGAGTTCCTCCAGGGTGCCGGGCCATCAATTGTCAGTGTATAAAAGGTAAGCTGTCTGGGTAAGTAGGTAGGTAGGTTTAAGATCAGAAATTTGCGAGCAAACCATCCCAGACATTTGAATATCAACTTAATCGCAACGTCCTATGTGGTGTAAAGTGGGATTTTCTACACACTTGTATCCAACATGAGGTAAATACCCAAGTCAAAAAGAGTCCCTAATTACCTATTTTATGGCAGTTAATGGCTTTGGGTGCCTTTGACTTTACGACGAAACCCGAAGAGGTAATTTGGAAAGAAACAACATAGAGACTCCCGTGAATTGGGCACAAGTATTTGCCGAGAGCTGATCTAGCAACAGGTTTCGTTTCATCAACGGGGTGTCACTTCTTTCCTTGCAACTCCAATTCCACTCCCACTTATAAGTCATATCCGTCTCCTGCCCTGTGCCGCACAAGATTTCGCCAAAGTAACGTCTTGACACACCATCGGTGTTCACTTGTCACAGGTCAGCTTGTAGGACCTGTACTCCGTGTTGCCCGTCCAAAGACAGCCAAGCTGGTCCCTGTAAGCACCACTGGCAGGGTAATCGTCGCACGTCGGGCCAGCAAAGGCGGTAACTAGAAGAAATATCGAATCAGCGATTCATCTTCATGCGAGTGGGTGACAGTGGACAGATCGTACTGCGGCAGCCATCGGCCAGCTCGTTCAACTCTAAGGCACGAGTGTCGTCCGGAAGAGGGAAGCAGAGGCCCTCCCAAGCACGCTCCACGATGTTCATGCCCCAGGTATGGCCGCTTCCAGAACCGCATTCGGTGTTCCACGATTGGAACTGTGCGGCGCGGTCATACTTCCAGGGTCCGGAGCAATTACACGGAAATACACATTGCAGTTGAATTGCAGCTGCAACGCCCCACATAAATCAATGCAACTGAAGGCTTCCAAAACCCCTGCAATTCAACCTGGCCCTCTGCAACGTGGATCCATTATTGCAGACATTGCAGAATAGTGGGTCCTTCTTAGCAGGTGATAGTGATTAATAGTAATTTGTATGGTGAACACTAACATGAAGCGGTCAGGGCATCGGCAGAACTCCCACCGCCCTAATCCCAGTCAATTCGCAGCTCAAGCTCTGACGAGCTCGGCATTCTGGCCTACCTGCCACCATAATGGCTACAGAAGCATCTGCTGCCGTCGGTGGCAAAGGAAAAAGACGAACGAGCATTCGAAAAATAAGGGAGAGGTTCATCCGGCGAGAGGCGATCGAGACCAGGAAGCTTTTGTGAAAGTCGGGCGGCACTGCCGAGGGACTGCAAGATGGCGGCGGAGGCGCAGCCCCAAATCGTGGTCGAGGTGGCCGACCAACCACCTTCGCCGAGACGACCGAGCCGCGCGTTGAAACCGAGCGCGAAAGCTCGCGAAGCCATGCAATCGCTCGAGGACGTGGCTACCACGTCGAGGAGAGCGGCGAGCGAGACCACGCGGGCGGTTACGACGCGAGGAGCACGCGCGTCTGGGATTTTATATGGAGCCAACAGCCGGATCGAGACGGGGAAGTCAGGTATACAGATGCTCCTGGAGGCGATCAACGAACAACGAGACGAAATGTACCGAATGATTACCGAGCAGCGAAACACGATTGGCGAACTACGCGAAGTGATTTGCAAGCAGCACGACGCGATTCAAGAACTACATCGCCAACTTGCAGACACCAGGACCCAGCTTTCTGAAGAACTGAGACAAGCGCGGGATCAGATTGATACCCTTCAACGCCACCCGGTAGCCATGGCTTCGTCCCAACCAAGCGCAAGAGGGTCATACGCCGAAGTCGCTCGCACCCCACCATCAAGCCAGCCAAGCGGTGTGCGCACCCTCTCCTCGCGAAACACGACGCCTTCATCCTTTACCGACACGTTGTTCTGTACGATCGATACATCTAGGGTGGAGGAGAAAGAGAAGGGAAACGTCCAGGTGGCGGACATTAGAAAGGCAATCGAGACAGAGGCCAGGGCACAGGAAAGCATGGGAGACTGGCGTTGCGCTGCGGTTGTGAAGGAGGCCCGAAACCCGGACCGAGTCAGAGTAATTTGCAGGGACGAAGGCGAGGTCCAGCTCGTCAAGGAAGCGGCAGTGAAGATCAGTGTTCCTGGAGTGCGGGTATTGAGAGACCAGTTGTACCCGGTGAGGGTAGACAATGCCAACCGAACAGCGGTCCTCGATGCGGACAGGAAACATCCTGCCGGGAGCCGCAGAGGCGCTAGGGACAGAGAACGACGTCAACATTGCGAAGATTGCCTGGCTCAGCAGGAAGGATACAAGCAAGGCCTACGGCTCGATGGTTGTCTACGTGACGAAGGGCAGCGAAGCAAGGCGACTTCTAGACGGGCGTTACTTCCATCTCGTCGGAGAATGCCGCTTACACGACCGATTTTCGCGTCCACCGGGAAGGCCCAATCACAGTGCTAGCCAAGATGCACAGGTAGATCGGCCATAAGGCCTTCGCCTGCAAAAAGCCGCAAAGATGCGGAAGGTGTGCGGAACAGGGTCACCACCACAAGACGTGTCAGTCCGTGGTCCTGAAGTGCGTGCTATGCAGAGGACCACACGAGTCATTTAGCAAGAACTGTCGGGTACGCTGGTTGAACAATGGGGCCCAAGACGCTTAAGATCCTTCAGCTCAACGTCCGCAAACGGAGAGAAGTGCAGCAGAGTCTGCTAAACGACGAGGGACTCAAGGACTTCGCAGTGCTGGCCATCTCTGAACCATATGCCAGGCTGATCGAAGGCTCGGTGACGACGGTCCCAATGAGTCATCACAACTGGACGAAGCTGATACCAACGACAAGACGAGAAGCCACGTGGCCAATTCGGAGCATGCTATGGGTACGAAGCCGATATAGAGGTCGAGCAGATTCCAGTGCCGTCGGCAGACCTCACCGCAGCACGCATTCGGCTCCCAGATCGGGCAGTGCTGATGGTGTCAGTGTATGTGGAGGGTGGTAGTGACGAAGCACTGGAAGATGCAATGAGGGAAATTGACCGACTGATTAGGAGGTTTCGAAACGGAACAGGGACGAGAACGGGATATCATCCTGGCGGGCGATTTCAACCGCCACGACCAGCTTTGGGGGAGGGGGACGATGTCTCACCACGGAGACAAGGCGAGGGAGACCGGCATCATCAACCTCATGGGACGAACACTCCCTTCTGCAGCCTCCTCCCAAGAAGGCACGAAGACGTGGGCAGTCAGGGCGACATTTGGAGGAGCACAAATCGACCTGGTACTGGCCTCTGCAGAACTAGCAGACCAACTACTCAGATGCGCGATTCACCTCCTGCGACCATGGCTCAGACCACAGAGCAATCGAGACAGCTTTTGACACCTCGGTGGAGGACCGTCCCAGTGAGACGAGGTTCCTCTTCAAGAACGCGCCCTGGGCGGAAATTAGGACTAGGGTGGCAGCAAACCTCGAACGCATCCCCTGGGACGGCAATGTCCAGCAGCAGACGGACAGGCTCATGGCAGCGGTAACCGAGGCGGTCTACGGCCTGACACCTAAAGCCAAGCCCTCACCATACGCCAAGCGGTGGTGGACAACAGACCTGACACGGCTTCGCCAGACATACACGTTTTGGAGAAACCAGGCGAGATCTCGACGTAGGATTGGGCAAACAGCACCAGAGCTCGAACAACGAGCCAGGATGGCAGGCCAAAGAGTACCACGACGCCATCCGCAGACAGAAGAGTTCGCATTGGAACGACTTCCTGGCCGATGACGCTAACATCTGGGCAAGCAACGAAGTATCTGCAAACCGGCAGCGGCACGATGGGCGATAAGATACCCCCGCTCGTCCGACCCGATGGCTCCATCACGGAGGGTAAAGCAGAACAAGCGCAGGAGTTACTCACCGCCTTCTTCCCACCTTTGCCAGCGAGAATCGAAGACGAGGGCCAACGACCTCAACGGGCGCCGGTACACATGCCAGACCTAACAATGGAGGAGATAGAACAAAAGGTCCTGTCCGCTAAGCCATGGAAGGCGCCCGGGGAAGACGGTCTACCGGCAATGGTATGGAGACAGCTCTGGCCAGTGGTCAAAGACAGGGTGCTCCATTTATTCCGGACGTCGCTTCGAGACGGCGACATCCCCAGCCAGTGGAAGAATGCCAAGATCATCCCATTGAAGAAGCCAGGGAAGAGCGATTACACTCTAGCCAAGTCCTGGAGACCCATCTCGCTGCTCTCCACGCTAGGTAAGATACTAGAGGCAGTCATTGCGGAGCGTTTATCCCATGCTGTGGAGACCTGCGGCCTTCTACCCGCCAACCACTTCGGAGCCAGGAAGAGACGCTCGACCGAACAGGCTCTCCTTCTGCTTCAGGAACACATCTACAAAGCATGGAGAGCTAGGAAGGTGCTCAGTTTGATCAGCTTCGATGTCAAGGGCGCATACAATGGGGTCTTCAAAGACAGGCTTCTCCAGAGGCTCAAGGCAAGAGGGATACCTGAACCCCTGGTCAAGTGGATCGACGCCTTCTGCTCCAAGCGCACAGCGACCATTGCCGTAAACGGGTTCACATCTGGACGGCAAGAGCTGCCCCAAGCGGGTCTTCCGCAAGGATCGCCGCTGTCTCCAGTGTTGTTCCTCTTCTTCAACGCCGACCTAGTGCAGCACAAGATTCGACGCGAACGGAGGCGCAATTGCCTTCGTGGACGACTACACTGCCTGGGTAACGGGCCCGTCAGCGGAGTCGAACCGCACTGGAATCCAAGCTATCATCGACAAAGCCCTTGACTGGGAGAAACGGAGCGGTGCGCAGTTTGAAGGCGAAAAGACAGCCATCATACACTTCACGAGGAACATGGAGCGATTTTCAGAACAACCGTTCTCGGTCAAAGGCGAAGTGGTCAAACCGAAGGAAAGTGCGAAAATCCTAGGTGTCGTGATGGATCGCGAACTCCGCTACAAGCAGCACATTGCTAGGACGGCAGCTAAGGGCCTCGCAGCCGCTCTGGCCCTGAAGAGGCTGAAGATGCTTTCCCCGCGGACAGCGAGACAGCTATTTGTTGCGACAGTAGCCCCGGTCATGGACTACGCTGCCAATGTCTGGATGCATGCGTGCGGGGAAAAAGCACTGAGCTGGCTGAACAGGGCGCAGAAGATCGGGGCCCTGGGCCATCACGGGAGCCTTTCGAACCGCGGCAACAGCCGTGGTGGAAGCTGAAGCGAGCATCTACCCTGTACGAGAACGACACGTCCAGGCGGCAGCCAGTCTGTGGATCAACATCCACACGCTGCCCGGAACGCATCCCCTTGCCATGAAGAAAGTCCGGACCACCGTACGATTCGTATCTCCGCTGCAGAAAATTGCCCGCGTGGCTGAAGGAGTACGAGTTGACCGGATGGAGACAATCCAGGAATACGCCGTCCCGCCCTGGGTACCTCGCCTACGACCGACGCTCGAAGCCGATCGAGGGAAGGCGGCCGAGATGGTCAACAAAATCTCGGGAATCGTGATCGCAACCAGCTCATCCGTAAAGAAGGGCATTGTTGGCATGGGCGGCCTTGCACGGGATACTCTCTTCAACAGAACTAGCGAGACTGTGACAAACTATGCTGTTGTTCTTGGGACAAGGGAAGAGCAGAACCCATATACAGCAGAGCTAGCAGCCATCGCAATGGCCCTGGAGAAGTTACCGGCTAGCATCTGCCACAGGCACATCACCGTGATCACTAGGAACCAGTCAGCGCTGGCAGCAGTTGGACAGCCGCGGCAGCAATCCGGCCAAAGCATCATACGGCAAATTTACGACTTGGCCAGGCTGCACCGACAAAGAGGGAACTCGGTCAACTTTCTGTGGATACCAGCGGAGATTGACTTCGCGCTGGGGTCAGATGCCAAGGCAGCAGCCCAGAGAGCGTCGAAGCAAGGACGCACACCCGACTCCCAAATACCCCAGGCCAAGTCTACCGCGATGAGGCTGGCAATGGAAAGACAACGGGCGACAAGAGTTCTACCTGTAAGCGTGGGCAAGTTCTCAAAGGCCATGGACGCAGCACTACCAGGCAAGCACACGCGCCATCTCTATGACAAGCTGAAGCGAAGGGAGGCCTGCGTATTGGCGCAGCTCCGAACCGGAATGGCGAGACTGAACGGTTTTTTGAGCAGGATTGGGGCGGTCGAGTCAGACCTTTGTGCCTGTGGACAAGCGAGGGAATCAGTGGAACACTTTCTTTTCCGATGCGTGAGATGGACAGCTCTGAGGGAAGACATGCTGCAATGCACAGTGGCAAGACGAGGAAGCCTCTCGTTCTATCTGGGAGGGAAAGCGCCATCAGATACAAGGCATTGGTCACCAGATATGAAGGCAGTCCGGGCGACGATCAAATACGCAATGGCAACAGGAAGGCTGGAGCTGAATGAAGAGGAGAGTCTAGACCAGTCACAGTAGAAGAAGCCGACACTCAACACCACGAGCCTCAACCACGAGCCTTAACCAGCAGGTCCCGCTTTAGCTGCTGAAGATAGGACGCTGAACACTTGGAGAAAGTAGCCTCCAAGTTGATCTGCTAACAACAACCAAGGCAAGAGGTAAATGGTGCAGCGAGAAAGAGGGAAGAAGTAGGGGGCTTGTACGAGTTAAAGGCAAACCGATTTGATCCGGATGTAGTTAGCGTGCTAAGGCCCTATAGGCCCAGTGCCTCCGGGCGAAATAAATTCCATCCATCCGTGGCCATCCATCTGCTGCCGTCGCCGCGGTTCCTACACGTACTGAAGAAGACCTGGCCTTTCTCTTCAAGCGATTTCCCGGCTACCTATTCACTGAACGCAAGGGGCCAGCGTGGTCGTGGGTATGGAAATTCGGGTATGATATTTCACGCGACGGCAAAGACCGTGTATGGGTATGCCTTCGATGTATCCAACAACGCAACCGGAAGCCAGCCGCCTATAACCCACGAAATCTTGTGAACGTCGAGATTCATCTCTTTAACTCTCACCAGCTTAGCGATCCTACCGGTAAGCGACCGCCGCCTTCTGCCGTCAAGCCCCAACGCGAGAGCAGCAATTCGAGATCCATCGCCACCTTCTTCAATCTCAATGCGAACAACGCCGAGGATCAGAGGATGGCCAACCACTTGATCAGCGCGTTCGATAGAGCTGAGTTTCAACGAAGGATTGTAAGATGGCTCATCAGCGCCAATCTTCCTTTCCGCACAGCTGAACACCCTTATCTTCGCGATGTCTTCTCCTACCTCAACCCCTCTGTCGACATTCAAAAAGCCAACCTCTCCGAGAAGACTGTTCACGCCCTCGCTGTACGAGAGGTTGAGCGGCATAAGGATGCGGTGGTTAAGACGCTCCAGGAGAGCCCCGGGCTGGTTCATCTAGTCTTCGATGGATGGACTTCACGCAACCGCCTCTCTCTCTACGGCGTGAGCGCAGTCTTCCGAGACGAAGAGGGCACGCCTCACAAGATTGTGCTCGGTCTGCCAGAGATGAGTGACCGGCATACGGGTGAGAACATCGCGGAGGCCATCCTCGATGTTATTAGAAACTATGGTATTGAAAAGAAGATTGGCTACTTCACTGTCGACAACGCTACAAATAACGACGCCGCGTTGAAAATAATCGGTGAGAAGCTCGGCTTCCAGTGGAAAGAGAGGAGAGTTCGATGCTTCGGCCATCATCAACCTAGTAGTTAGAGCACTACTCTTTGGTGTAGAATGTGATGCCTTTGAGCGAGAAGTCTCTACTAGCCTACTCACTACTCAACATGAGCATGAGCAATGGAGGAGGAAAGGCCCCATTGGTAAGCTTCATAACTTCTGTCAGGTATGTGCATCTCGCCTTGTCAACCTACCTATCACTGACCGTGAGAAGGAGGTCAACAGGTCAGACCTCTGGACCAAGAAGCTCATCTCGGCGCAAGAGCAACGGATCCGAGAAGCCTCCGAAGGTGAGAAGATCAAGAAACACACGCCGGTCGGAGTGGTGACAGACAACGCTACGCGGTGGCTCTCTCAGTACTTCATGATGGAACGCGCTCTTCAACTCCAGCCTTTTCTACGAGACCTTCCTCTTTGAGGCGAAGCTTCACGTTGACTCGCAGTTCCGGACGACAGCAGGCACTCTAAAGAAAGGCGCGAAGGAGCCGCTCTTCTTAAATGAGGAGAACAAGTTGACCGCGAACGACTGGGAGGTCATCTCTGTGTTGAAAGAGATCCTTCTCGACTTTGAGCTCGTTGTGAAAGCTCTTCAGGGCGACGGTCAACCTCGTGAGAAGAAGCGCAGCTCCTGCGATGAGCCGATCAGTCTAGTACAGGGAGCAAGCTGGGATCTTCTCGATGGGTACGAGTTCCTCCTTGAGTCTCTCGAGAGAGCGAAGGCGAGAAGTTGAAGACCTCGTTGAACGGCGAACACGTCGCTATTAACGTCAACAACGCATGGATGAAGCTCGACAAATACTACGAGAAGATCGGCCAGTCTCCTCTCATCTACGCTGCCCACCGCATTGCACCCTCGGCACCGATGAGGGTAGGTTCGAGAGCGTGGCGTGAGCATCACGCTGACTGGATCGAGCCAGCGAAGTTACAAGTCCGAGAACTCTGGAGGCAACAATACCGAGACCTACCAGTCGAGCAGAAAGAGGCTTCAGAACCACCCACGAAAATCCCCCGCCTCTCGAGCAACAGGTTCGCAATCTTCAGAACCCAGGAGCGAACTCCAACAAACTCAGCACCCACCTCTCCTTCACCCTTTCCATCGCCAGCGCTGGTCGAACTTGACGAGTTTGAGCGTTGGCAACTAGATAATAGCGACTTTGATCGGTACGAGGAGGATCCCCGTGCCTACTGGCACAAGAGAAGGAACACCTACCCACGGCTTGCGCGCATGGCGTTGGATCTACACACGGTGCTTCCTATGAGCGCCGAAGTTGAGCGGCTTGTTCAGCGTTACTGGCCATATGGGTTACTTCCTTTACGCAACCGGCTACAGGCGAACACAATATCTCTCTGTCAGATCCTCCGCAGCTGGTACGATGCCGGCGTGATTGATGATCTCGATCCAATACTGTCATGGAAGACACACGGACACATGGAAGATGATTGATGATAGCTAGGGTTAGGGATTTGTATGGAAATTTGGACCCACTTCTCCCATTTTGGGTTAGGTTATTGCCCCACAACGGGGCCCACAGTTCGGCCCCACCAATTTCAACATGTTGCATCCATTTCAACGAGTGCCTTCCGTGGATCAATTCAATGTGGCTTCGCTTACGTAAGGTGCAATTACACTGCAACGGGCTGGTGACATTGATGGGAGTGTAATTGATCCGGACCCTGCATACTTCTCGGTCGGGGTACTGGCAGCGCCGGCGATGAGCGAGAGGGAAGAGACGAAGGCTGCCGTGAAACGCATCTTGTGATGAGTGTTGACTAGATTAAATGGGTTGGGCTGGGATGTGTTGGTAGGACTACTAAGAGTACTGAGTTTGTGTTGAGAGAGTGGAAGAGGTCGAGACAAGCTTGGGCTATTATGAAACTTATATACTGCCTAACTACAAAAGTTTGATGAACGAAGACCATACGTGTGCGTTTCGGAGGAGCGAGGAAACCATCCGAAATCATTTACCAACAATCATGAGAACATGAGTACGAGCACGTTCATTTTCCGCTTTCAGTACCTAGGTGAGGTAATTCGCGCGAAGTCATCTCGACTTCGGAGAACCCGGGCCACAAGCCCTGGTTTAACCAAATTAATCTGAGACCTGCATCTTTTAAAGTAGGGAATCATTGGCGGCATCGCGATCTATGGTCCAGTAATGCCAGACCTCCAAGTGCAGCGTGGCGTTATTGGCGACCTTCAAAGTGTAGCCCCGGCCCGTTCGTGTTGGGAGATTGGGTACCACCAGGTCGCAGGTGCTCGAAGCTGCGGGGGACATGTCAATTGTTATTGAACTGATAGGGGGAAGTGGCTGAAAATCAGGAGTTTGTTATGAAGACGGCGGGAGAATAGGACCCGAATCACCCGAACGCGGGGGCGCCCACATGATTGTCGGCAGCAATTCCCCCGAGACTGACCACGACATTCGCTCATGATCGCCATTACTCGTCTGTGCTCAATCCAAAAAAGCCCCAGGCGGTCCGGTCTCCAGGCCGGATGTGGAAAGCGGAGGTGGGAAACCACTACCGAACAAGACAACCATGGGGCGGCCTGATATAGCCCGGGCGTCAACAATTAGAGGGCGGAACCTTCTTGCGACCCATTTGGCTACACCTCGTGTGCAGTGGCGTCGCAGCGTAACTATAAAGCTGCAGGCTAGATGGAAGTGCATGAAATTCCAAGTTCTCAAGACTCAGTTGAGGAGCCTTAGCCCTATGATAACATTGAGCCCCAGGGTGTATCTTCTCAAGCTGCCGGTCTGTCCATGTTTCTTAGAGGGAGTGGATGTCTTCGCCGGCATCGATGATGAATCCATACGTAGGCTGGTGACCGAGGAAATAGGCTTGTCACGATGAGGGTGGTCGGGTTGGTCGTACTGGCGAGCGGTATGGCCAAATAGCGTACACCCGAGCTGTGACGGACACTCCCCCTGTTCCCCTTTTTGTCTGCCGCCGTCCTGGAGGGCGCACTGTCGCGCGGTCCGACTCCTCTCGCCCCAGGCTTCCTCAGAGAGACTGATACGGGTCCACTCTCCTCCCTCTCTTTTGCCTTCCTGGCCAAGCGGCGGCGACTACCGCAACCGAAATGTCTCCATATCCATGCCCGTCTCAAACAAACCCGACGCATCCTCCATCAAGCCCGGTACATACGCCTCACCCACAAAAAGCCTCGTATCATCTCGCTTCGGATCAAGCCTCAGCACATATGGCGTCTCACCTCCCTGCAAAATACACAGGAGATCGCCCGCCTTCGCCGTCGGCGGCATCATGGCAAAGTAGCGCGACTCTTCCGTCACGGCAAAGCAGCGGTGCACGGCGTGGTTCTCTGCCGCCTGCAGCCAGGCAGTTGGGTTTGGCTTGGGGGTTTCTGTTGTTGGGGTTGCCTCCCTACGACTGGCGCTGGGAGGCTTCCAGTTGCGCGGGTCATGTTTGGTGCTGAACGCGGCGGCGGGGAACAATTTGGAGAGCACCGAGATGCCCGAAGCGTACGCCGTGTCATCGGCTTTTGGAGATGGCGAAGAATTCGAAGGAGATGATATATCGTCAAAGAGCGCGGCTGGGGCGAGGGTGTCGAGGAATGCTTTGAGAGTCCGGGATAGAAGCGTCGTTCTGGTATGTCCCCTGGGTGGTCAACTTGGAGGGCTCATGTTTGGACGGCTGACCGGGAACCGGCTTAGGAGGTCGGCAGAGGCGCCATGCAGCCTGGATAAGCTCCTTCTTGGGAGAGTCCGAGTTGAAGCAGCTCGAAGTGAATCTGGCAGTTACCTTGTCGATAGTGTCAACGACAAGGCCCTTGACCAACAGCGTCTTGTAGTTATCTTCGAATGAGTCCTTTGTAATACATGAATTGGGCGAGCCGGATGCTTTGTAGCGCCCGGGGTGGCCTATCAGGCTGTGGAATCTCCCTGCGTCCCACCGCGGGACCCAGCTCGGCAGTTCCTTTGGTCCTGGAAGCGGTGACCTAACCTCCCCATTGTCCGACACGCTGTTCAGTAGCATCAAAGTACTATCGACAGTGAGTGCGCGGATGGCAATCTCGTGGTAGACGGCCGCAATCGTATTGTCATAGTCGGGCTGGATGATGAGCGCCTGTTCAGCTTCGATCCACGCCGAGTAGTGGCCAAGTTGTGAGAAGACATAGTCTCGGGGGTCCGTGGCCGAGTTCCTAGCGCTCAAGCACAGTTGGTAGACGAAGCTATGCCGTGCTCGCCCTCCCGGCTCATCCCGTGGCTGCTCAACAAACCGCCTGAACAACAGCGTGACGGAGCTAGTACCAATTTTGTGCTTTTTCTTGAGCTCCCAGCCCTGAGTCTCGAGCTTCCTCATGGAGTGGTGCAGCGCCTCCCCACCGGATGCTTTCCGAACCCCAGTGGACGATGGCTTCTGCGTCTGTCCCTATTTCCTGGGGGATCCAAGCCCTTCGGAACCAAGGCAATTTGCTAAGTTCTCGCAGAGATTTCCAATTTTCGACAGGAATCCAGTCAAAGTTTGCCCCCTTTAACTTGCAGAGGGTCGACAGGAGTTTGTCCTCAAAGATGGAACGCAGCGCATTGAGAAGCTGAAAAGCCCTGGAAGCGTGGCCTTCGGGATCTGCACCAAGCCACACGAGAACTTGGTGTGCATCTCGGAAAATGGCATGCATGAGCCGGACCTGTTGGCTCCGTTCGACAGTGTCCTTCTGGTTAATGCACAGCTGGTCGATCCAGATTCGTAGCGCTGGCTGTCCAGGAGCAGGGCGAAGCCGCCGCAGGGCGATGCCCAGACTGTTCGTGATAGCCAGTCTTTTCCCATCGATGAGGATCACTTCGTTATACTGAGGCTCACCCCATACGTAGGAGAGAGCAGAGTAACGCGGCTCCTCGCTGCCAATCCACATGGCTTCGAGACTGCCGGCCAGCTTATCCGTTTTCTTGCCGGGGTTGAGGACGAGGACGCGCGATCTATAGTACTCCTGGATGCGTTTGTATTGGTAGAACTCGTCCAGCACGGCCGACTCTAGTGTTCTCTCCCTCGCCAAACGTTCGTTTTCCAAGGCCAGTCTCTCCCGCTCCGCTTGCTTTTCCGCTTCCTTTTCCGCTTCCTGTGCCCGGACCTGCCTGTGGAGGTCAAGCCTCACGGGGGAGTAAGTAATTTGCATATTTGGATATGCCATAGCTCATGTGGATGTTGATTGCGACTGGGTTAAATAAATAGGTTTTGAAGAAATAAGGCACGCCTTTAAAGTTTACCCTCAGGAATTGGAGTCAGGATGGAAACGAACAAGGAACAACTGAACAAGAGGCTGGAGGCGCAATGCGGTAAAACGTCAGATTGTGCCAAAACAAGCGAGCCCGGCGAGGCGACTTTCTCGAATGCTAGCCTCTTGCTGCCTACGGATACATCCACGACGAGGCAGTTTGCGAGGTTGACTAGGAAATGATTTGCTGCGGAGGGGGCTGCATAGGCTTGAAGCTTGGGTGGGGCACGAACTTAAATGTTTTAGTTAGAAGCCCCCCCTTTACAGCTTAGACCTCAACGATATCAAGGACGTTTGGAGAGCTGTGAAGAGTATTTTGTATAGGGACCCCACGGGCGTACACCTCCCGAGAAATAACGATGCAAACATTGTAATTTTGGAGGATGCCCTGAAGGTTGCCTGGGGAGTGGTGTGGGTAGGTGACCGCCAAGATGCAAATGGAACAACACTTTTTGACACCCACTTGCCCCTTTAACAACTTAAAAACCGAAGTTCTGGTCGCTCTGGGCCCGGAAGTTTGGGTGGTGCAAGTACCTAGGGAATGAAACTTTATAACGTAAATAAAGGTTTAAAAAAAATCGACCGACCCAATGTGGATCAAACAGACAGGTTGTGGTCGTTTCACTGTCCTTGGCGCTGTGTCTTGCCTCAACGAGGGTGGAATCGACAGCACACAACCTAACCATTGCACCACGAATGGTGCAATGGTGTCTGTCGAAAATCAACAACCAAAAAGTAATCTATAACTATAGCCTGGCCACTCATTTCACCCTCGTTCCCCCCCCCGCCGTAAAAAACAGAAAAAACAGCGATGGAACACTGGGAGTTCTGGCCACGAGTCCTCGAAGGTGAAATGAACAACGGAAGTAAGGAAGCAGGGGAAACCTTAGGCTGGGGACATTTTTCCAAATCTAAGGACGGTAGCTCACCGTATATAATGTATATTCCTCCTCCTTTCACCTTGCCAAAACCCCACGGTCCCCTCCCAGCAACAATCAGTCATACCAGATAGCATTCATGCCAAACCCAGGCTCCGGAATGCGCAGCCTTGCCACGCGATGCAGGAACTCATCCTTCCACCTATACATCTCGATCCACCCCTCCTGGTCGTCCGTAATCGCCATCCACTCATCGTTCCACGGACACGGCGAGACGGCATTACTATGCCCGCCGCTCGTCGGCGTCGGGTTCAGCAAGATCTGCCTCTCGATACTCCCACAATCCCGCAGCCTGAACGCAGCCACATAGCCCTGCAGCTCAAACTTGTTGGCGCGCGACGACGCAAACATGTGGCGCCCGCTCGCCGTCAGCGCCACCACGTCGGCGCGGTACAGGCCCTTGCCGGTGTCGGCGTCGCGCGCGGGGATCCCCGGCGGGATCAGCGGGTAACTATGGTGTGTGTACACGGGCAGGTGCGTCGCCGGGTCGATGACGTACTCGCAGATGCGGTTGCCGGCTTCCATGAGTGCGTAGAGGTACTGGCCCGTCGGGTGCATGGCTACCCAGCGAGGGTGGTCGCCCGGGGAGGGGGCGTCGACGCTGCCGACGAGTTCCACTTCGCCTGAGGGGAGTTTACGGTGTGTCCAGAGTTTGTTGGCCGTTAGGTCGGCGGAGTAGAGGTAGGTTTCGGTGGGGTCGAAGACCATGCCGTGGATGCCGGTGTTGGATTGGTAGGGGTAATTTTGGATGTTCTCTTCGAGCTTGCCGGTGTCGGAGACGGAGAAGATGTTGCCGAAGCCGGCGTGCTTGTAGAAGGGGGTTGGCATAGACGGCGTAGGGGGGCTGCTTGGCCGCGAGCAAGAAGATGGCGCGGGTGTTGGTGTCGGCGCTGTTTGCCTGGGCTGGTGCGTGGGGTGTGGTTAGCATTGCAATGTGATCTGATGATTATCCGAGGTCATAATTAGAAATTGAAACATAATAACAAAGACATACGGTCATCGCCCATGGGATGGGATACCTCGTGGACAATCTCAGTCGGGCTCCGGACGGCAAAGCTGGACCACTTCTTCATGGCGGCGCCGTAAATGTTTTTCCTGGTATGCTGCATCCCATTGTGAGTTGATGCTGCTTCACTGGATGGCCAATTGGGGCTGTGGTCGTACGTCGAAGGTCATCCATGATATCGGCTCGTCTTGCGGAATCTCGGTGCGCTTGACCAGCTTCAGCGTGAGGTTCTCGTCGTCAAACTGAACGGTGAAGATGGCCCCTGGCGGGGTCCATGTCCCGATCATCAAGTGGTGGAGGGGCATGGTTGCTGATGCTGCCAATGACGTCGGATGCTGTTGCCGGGGTTTCTGGGGGATTTCTTGGGGTCGAGAGGAATAACTCCTGTCGTCTAACCGTCTCTCAAAGGAGAAGCAACTGCGGGACACGATTGGGATCGTACGATGCAAAATTGATGTTGGACGGAGAATGGCCATTGCATTCGATGTTATCATCTTTCTGTCTGCAACATTTTCCTTCCCTCCCATGTGCTGCCCTTTCTTGGCGCTAGACATGGCGCTGGACGCTGTGTGAATCTTTACCCCTCGGCGCGGCCTAGGCTTCGGAATTGCGATTGTGGGGTCGGGAACGGTGGCGGGAGATGCAAGACCGCCCAGCACCTGTCGGGATTTCTGGTGCAGCATTGACTTCCGGCAAATCCACAAAACCTTGTTTCCTCAGAAACAACCCGCATGTCTCCCGAGTCCCGCCTCCCGCCTCCCGCCCCTCGCTCTTTCGTGGCCCACGCGCCCGCAGGTGCATCTTTGTTGCCCCGGGTCGAAAGGGTAAAAGCTCATCCCCACCATTTTCTCTTTCTGATGCAATCCCGGCAATGGCGAGGCCGAGCTACATTCCTCGCATCATCGCTACAAAGCGCGGAACCTGGATGGAGGGAAGAACCTCAAGGGTATAGTTCGCGGCGGAATCGAACAGCGGCGCGGGCTTGGGTTCCCAGATCCCGCATCTGAACATGATCCGATGGTGGCCGTGAGGTGCAGCGATCGCGGATGAACCAAGATGCTGAGCCGCCTGGCGATTCATGGGACGGCAACGCCAAGGGCGCTGTCGCTGGGATGGACGCTGCGAGCACGCTGGGTGGTTGGACGCTAAGGCACCATAACAGGGGAGCTCGTTGTCAGTGGGCTGGGGGGATAAGCTGGGGCCTCCAGCGGGATTTCCAGTGCCCTTCGGTCTAACTCCGAACGCGGGATGTCCCTGATGTTCCTGACTCCCTGGATGGCATTTCCTCGCAGGGCCTAAGATTTGTTCCCGAGGTTTGCCCTCCTTCCCTCAAGCCCCACTCCTCGTAGCGGTGGACCTGGGGACGAACAAAGGTGCCGTGGCAGCACCCCGATTGTTCTCAGCGGGGAAAATGATGCCACATGGGTGCTCCGCGCCTATCATGTTGAACCGATTCACAACCGGCTGCTCGGCCGCGATGTCTCATCTGTACCGGAGGGCGAGGTGAGGCGAGGTATCTCCAGGTCTATATAAGTCCAAGCATGCAACCTGCCTTGTTTCCTGGTTCTTGATTCTCATTCCCATCTCAGCATATTCAAGAGTTTCTTTTTAGGCCTGGTACCTGCCATAACATTGTATCCTTGCCTGCCATATTTTCCGTTGATCAGCCTCAAATATCACAACCTCATACCACCATCACCACTACAATGGCCTCTGACAAGCCCTCCCACCGTTTCGACCCCAACTTCACCGCCCAGGTGGTTGATGGTATGGGCCCTAAGACGACTCCTCGCAACCGTGAGGTCCCTCGGTGCCCTGATCCGCCACATCTTTGACTTTG